TCGGACTGAGCAGGCGAAGAAGGAAACTTGGTCCGGAGCTGACCAAAACTTGGTCAGCCGGACCAAGCCTTCAAGTCAGCCGGTCCGCGTGCCTCGGACTAAGCTTGGTCCGCCGGACCAAGCTCCTGGTCCGGCGGACCGGGATCTGGGAAAGTTTCCAAAATTCGATTTTAGGGTTTTCTAATCTTATTTAAGTTTAGGGTTTCGTCTAAACTTAAAGAGAGCCGACCAAAAACTCAGAGAAATACCCTAGAACTCTAGAGAAGCTGTTCTCTTGGATTTCTATTGTCCCGGGATTGGATCTCGTCTCTTGATTACCCTTTTCTTCACTAATCCTAGCAGATTCGTTCCAAACTGTTTGGAATCCTTCCCGTCGGTGTAGATACGTGTAGAGGAGCTGTACTTTCAGCTCTTGGTGATTTAGAACAGGCCCCGGATCGAAACAAACTCCAAGTCTCATCGAGAACGAGGTAAGTAACGATTCCCTCGGTGATATACACGATCTTTTCGGGTTCTGCGAGTTTGGTTGCGTGTGACGTTTGACTAGGTTTAGATTTTTCTTCCGCTGCATGAAACCTAGTAAACCAAACCCTAGATCGATATGATCGCATGCTAGAAACCCGTAGATACCCAACACATGATCCATAGGTTTGCCGAGAAATGCAAGCTCGTCCGCTTTAATCTTGAAAAAATTCATATAATCGTTGACGGTTTTGGTCTTTGAGTTATTTGATGTGGCCACGGCTAGATCGGCCATAGGTTTGGGCGAGAGTAGCCCATGCATCTGCAGTAGAGGTGGTCGACACTACGAGAGCTTGACATGGACTTGAGATCGCACCGAGGAGAGCCGAGAAAACAAGATGGTGCTGACGAAACCACGACTTATAGGTCGGATTAGGAGATAGTACATTGTTGGTGATGATAGTGGTAACCGGCACTTTGGCCGCATCGAAGAAGTCTTCGAGGTTGTATCCTTGGAGTAAGGCACGAAGTTGAATACTCCATGTCAAGTAGTTCATGGCCATGAGTTTCGAAACATTCGAACACTACAAAAATACAATCCATATGCGACGGAAACATACGTCGCACAGCGAACAAATATCCGTCGCAACACCTTGTTTGCGACGGATAACGACGGGGACAAATCCGTCGGTACAGAGCTGTCGCAAATTTGTTTCAGTCGGTTAACCGTCGCACAATTACGACGGACAATTCCGTCGTATTCCATCGTTAATTTACCGACGGATATAAAACCGTCGTAGACCGTCGCGTTTATGTTTGTCGCACATTCCGACAGACTTATCCGTAGCAAACGTTACCGACGGAATCTATCCGTCGTATATGCGTCGCTTTCTTGATTTCCGAACGTAACGACGGATTACGGTCCGTCGCAATTAACTGTGACGGATTACGACAGATTATATCCGTCGCAACATTAGTAAAAGTAATTAAAAAAAAACAAAAAATTTATAATTAATTTAAATATTTTAAAAAATAATTTTAAAAACAAATTCATAAATTAGAAATACGAATTAATTAAAAACAAAACAAGTTTCATAATTAAGAAAAAGTATAATACAATAATTTAGAAAGAGTTATAATACAAAGATGTCTATGGATCAACCGGTGTATCATTGCCGAGATTGGCGGATGCGTCCTCCGGATCGTCCTGAGGATCATCTGGCTGCCGAGATGTCGTCGGAAAGTCATACTGGTCGAATATAGGCGGCATGAACGGTGTGAGGCGCTGCATCATCTCCTCGAAGCGTACGATCCTCGCTTCGGTCTCGGAGAGCTTCTGTAGCTTCTCCCGATGTTGCTCGAACTCCTCGATCTTCGCCCGGGCCTCTGCCAGTTCTGCAGTCGTCCGCTCTTGGGAGCGTTTCAACTCTTCCATTTCACGCATTAGCGCGACATGGTGAGTAATCGCCGGAGCAGAAGTTTCTCCCCCGCCCAGTTGAGATGCCAAGGTGCCGACACCATAGATACGGCCCTTGGCATCCGGATGGACAACCTATACAATGAATGAAAAATTAGCATACAATCATATATTTTTAAAATTCAAAACTATTAATTTTATAAATATTTACCTCTAGATATAGGCTGTTAACTTCGGTTGTCGAGAGTTGTGTAGAAGCAGTACTCTCGTCCATCTGGGAGACTTTATCGTCGATCTTGGGCTGCACCAACTCCTCGATCTGTTGGACCCGCTCATTCACATATGTACCGTCCGATCGACGGTGTGTGTCCTGAAGAACTCGTAGAACCGACGGTTCTACACCTTCTTTTTGAGCCTAAAAACAAAATAATTATAATTACTAAATTTTTTAAATAAATATAATTATTAATATAAAAGTTACTTACTATATCCATTGGACTCTGGCGAAAGATCTTCTACCCTCGGTATGAGTTGCTGGTGCGCGGTCCCCCACAGATCGAGACCGTCGGTTGGCTGAGGCGACCCGACTCTTCTCTGCTGCATCATCTGAGTCCCAGTGAGCCAGGAGAAGGCTCCAAACACCCTCGCTCATCCACAATGGCTTGTTT